AACATGCAAGATTTGGGAATGCCTGTAAGTTAGCCCCTACCTTCGGTTGCTGCAGAATTTAGAGCTTGCACAGGTGAGATAAAGCCATCTCACCGCTCCCCTATCACGCAACTGCATACGCCAGAAGCTGCAGGACGGAAATCTCAACTTCTTTGGAAATATGCTGTCATGGCAAGCCCGGAGTAATTTCTGATTGCACCTGTAACTATCACTTGCGCAACCCACCTTGAGATGAAGCACTCGATCTGAACTACTGGCTGTCTTTGCTACTTCTTGCACTTTTCTTCTGATGGCCGGCTGTGGTTCATCGCAAGTATGGTTCATGCCTGGGGGTCTTTTTGATAGTGGCTGGACTGATTTGGGCTTTGCAAGCAGACACCCTAAACATAACCACCCTGAGCCCTACACCCTAAACCCCTTACCAAATCTCCTCTGGGCTCCAGGCGGGGCCAGGGCCTCCACGAAAGCCGCTGCCGGAGCGAAGGCGGCTGGTAGCGCCAGAGGCCACTCGGGCGCAGCGCCCGTGGCACCGCGGTTGCCCTTTTCAGGGTCTAGGGCGTGGGGTTTGGGCTTCAAGTTTAGGGTTCTGGGATTGGGGTTGGAGGACTTGAGCTTCGTTTTGTTATTCCTCGGACTTTGCCCTCGGTATGTAGGGCTCCATTCCGATTTCGACTATATATGGTACGGGTCCCCATCTCATCCTTGCTGAATTCCCACAAGACTCGTACACAGATCCAAAAGGGATTCAAGCGGCCTCGCTGCCATGGGCGCCGTGCGCTCCATGCACGGCTGCGGCCAAGGCATCGAGGACGTGGCGCAGCCAAGCCTCCGTAGAGCTTCAAGAGAGCTTCTGATGCTGGCGGCTACCCGCGCCAGATTTGGCAGTAAGTGGTATGGCTAAGGTGATTATGACTTGTTGCATGCAAGTTGTCATTGCCTCTGCTAGTGTGTAACTTGCATCTTTTCGACTTCTGTTTGACTTTGCTCCTGTCGTGCAGCCTCAGAAGCCATCACATTGTGGGTCGAGGGCTTTCAATTCCTGGGGTAGTAGTGCAGTAGTAGCTCCGCTCAAGGGTTCAAGCCCAGAAATCCTGCTAAATTCAATCTCCCCCCCAAAAAAATCCAACATCCATCCCAAAAGGGATGTGGAAAAGGGCTGGCGAAGGCAGGAGACCAGCCTCCCGCGTGTAAAGCCTCAAGGGACAAGGCAAGAAAGCTCAGCAGCGTCAGAATTTCGAAGATGGGAGGAGTGTAGTCTTGGTACAGCTAGGGTCACTGATTTCAATGCCAGGCCTGCAAACCAGCCTCTAGTAACCCAGAATGCAAACAACTAGTGGGCTAGAGTCAAATGCTACGCCTCTTCAAGTATGCATTAGTGCCAAGCTTTCTGCTATGAAGATTATGAAGGCCGTATCCTAAGTGGCAGGGTGCCCGTGCTTGACCAGAACAAGCCTAACTGGATACTTTGCATTCGTTGCCTGGTATCACCCAACGAATGAGACTAGGTAGGCGAGAGTCTAGAGACTTCCCCGATGAATCTTTGAAGGATGTTGTCTTTGCACTACAGCTTGAAAGCGAATGCTGGGCCTCCTTGCTCTCACAAAATCTGCGAGCCCAAAGCCTCAAACCCCCAGAACCCGCAGCTCCGGCATTTGGATTGCCTGGACTCCCTGCTTCTTATCACACTGGACATCGGTCACCTCGCTTGCATTGCCTCAAGAAACCCTTAACGGCGCTAGGTGATCCCAGCAGCATGGGTCCCGATTTGAAGGTCATGTTAGCATGTTGGAAACCCTTATTCAGGCCAAGGTGCCACAGAGCAGTTAGCAGCAGCTGGAAAGTATCCGAAGTGGCTTGGCGCATGGTATTGGCCTGGGAGGCAGAAATGATGCGGGCAACGATTTCAAAAATGATTCTGACCACTCATCGTGAAGATGGCCATTTGGCCACAACAGTTTGGTCCGGACTCCAGTTCCTCTCCGGTCCAGTTTGGGCGCTACAGTTCTCTTCAAAAGCGCTATCGAGCCTGTACTGTCCTGTGAAACTTTTCGAAAGACAGTCCCACCGCTGCCTGAGGCTGCGCGAGTTGTGACAGAACCATCCTGCGGACCTCTTGGGGATCCCCTGAAACTGCCCTCGGAATAATAGTAATACTAGTATTCCTAAAAACCATAGTACTAGTAGAGAAAATTATTACAAGTAACAATAGTACTAATGATAGTAAAAGATTACTGTCCCGAATGACAACCGCTCTGAAGACCGGCATCGCAGTCTCAGGGCCAGGCCATTGCCTCCGCAGTCAGATGAGTTTGCCAGAACTCCTTGCACTGCATTAAAGCCATGGAAACACGGTGGCCGAAGCCTTGCAGGGCATCTCATTATCCATTTTCGCTTCACTGCAACGGTGCTCACTACGGACCAATTGCCAACCATTAATGCTCTTGTTTGACGTGAGGTTACTGTCGCTTATAGGGAATATACAGTGCTATATGCAGTGCTGGCCCCTAGCCTCTTAATTGTGCACCCAATCAAGTATACAAGCAACCGCAGCCTCGACGATCCTTGCTTCACTACAAACAAGGACCAGTCAAAACATTGCAAGCCTTCCTGCCGGCCCTCCCCTCTGAGAACTCAAACATGTTCAAACTACGGCGCCAAGCTTTGCAAAGACAACTTCCCCCTAAATAGTAGTTTTCATTTGATTTTCCATTATCCCGGTATAATCCCAATATAACCCCAATATAATCCCTATGTAATCCCTATATAAGTTAGAAAACTAGCTGCCATCACTGCTGCACATTTGCAAGGGATACCATGTGTACCCAAACTAACTGCGTGGAAAATACTTGTACCGTAACAGATGCAGGAACCACGGTGACCCTTCGTTGATGAAACCTCGAACCTGAGGATGCTCGTGAATCAGTGACCACATATTAATGATATAGGGACTATTTAGGGATTATATTGGAGTTGTATTATATCGGGATTATACTGGGATAATGGAAAAAATGGAAACTACTATTTAGGGCCAAAACAAGATTATTGCATCTTACCTTACTCCAAAAGATCGCTCAAAGCAGCAGGCCCGAGGTCCTCCAACTCGTTTTCGGCGCCTTTAGGGATACAAACCAGGGAGTTCCTGCCGTTTTACTGCCCCTGGCGCATCTAGCAAGGGCACTCTTGAAGGATTACCCACCTTTGCAAATCTCATATTCCCGAAGTTGTGGGAGGGGAATGGTCTACAAAACGGTATGTCATTATTTGGTGCCATGGCTCCATGATTTTCAATGGCCTTTGGCTGTCTTCATGCTCGTCATGGACATCGAAGGGCTTGTTGGAGGCTGCATGGTATGATGCAAATAGTTCAGACGAACACGTCAAAACAAAATCTAGAAACCAAATTCAGCAACCATGACTGAGCCAGCCCTGTTCATACACGTGCAATACCAGCAGCCTGGACAGTCGTAAGAGATTTTGTTTACCGCTCTCAGAATTCTAAATAGGTGATGCCGTTGGTCCGCTTCAGGCGCGTGGCTTCATGCAGGAATGTCCATTAAGTCTAGTCAGCCTAAACTCCCCAATCCCCAGATGCTGTAGAACTTGAATTTCAAGAAACTCCGCCGGTCACAGCTCCCTTTTTTCCCATGGCCGCACTGCCATCCGCAGCGGGGAGAAGCCCGTGAAGTCGCAACCTGGCTGTTCAGTCATAGCTTTCAGGCAGTTCGACACTGTGGATCTGCAGATGAAGACGTATAATTTGCCATGAATCTGCTTCTGCATGCTTTGAACTACAAAGCATGTTGCAACTAGGGTTGCCTTCTGCCCGGCCCTGCCCAGACATATCGCAATACCCACGCGGCAGGACCATTCGCCCGAAGAGTGATGTCAGTTTTGGGGGGTAGAGGTGCCTTTTGCAATTCCTGCAGACTCCCTTCCCTAAATTTCCTTTGCAGCCTCCCAAGTTGAGCTTCAAACCTTCAGCCGTAGAGCCCGAAATCCAAAACCCGAAATCGGTCGGCCCCAGCCAGGTGACAGATTTAGCCGCACATCTCCTTCGGGCTTGGGCGTCCAGTCCTCACGCTTAGCACAGCTAGACAATCACTTAGCTTTAGGATTGAGATTCGCACTGTAGATGACTTTAGGCTTCACACCTGCATGCTGTCGAAAGCTGGCTTCCTGGAACTTTTGAGGTTTCACAGGCATTGAAGAGGAAACCTGAACTTAAGCCTATACAAGTAAGATGATGTGCTGTTTTTGCTGGGAAGGGAGAGAGCTTCATTCTTTTGGGTCGTTGGATCAATCAAGCTGCCTGGGCCTGATGGCAAATGCCTTGACATGAGTCGTGGGGTAGCAATGGCCATTACTGCTAGCGTTGACGTTAGGAAAGTGAGAAGTACACATCCGAGGCGAATTGGCCCCCCCACAATCAGGACTGATGTGTTCTATTCGTAACTCTGCCTGAGAGATCTTGTCAAAAGTGGCGTGTCCACAACCCTGCACTAATCAAGTTGTAGAAGCTTCACGGACTGTTCCCGCAGCCCCAGACTTCAGAACAACTTAACGAATCTGTAGTGCGCTTCTTCCATCTTTTTCTACAGGGAGTCCTGGGAGAGCATCCCATAGATCTCGTCGCCACCGCTGCCAGGTTTCGGACCTCGGCTTGCCATGATTTCTCGAAATGGGGGGGTACCCTTCAGGATGCAAGGGTGACATCACCCCGGGGTTTTGTCAGGAAGGGCTCCTGAAAAAACAACAAGCTTGAAGGTAAAGGCGGTAGCGGTTCAAGGTCAGCGGTTCCCACAAAATTGCGGCCAAACAAGTTACAAGTAATCAGAACCCTTGAGCCCAACAGCTTGCATTGGCTGATGGCCTGTTGCTCGTAGTGACTCGTCCTAAGCAACAATGTTTGGCGTAAACGCTCAAACGACTGCCAGCGGCGATTATTGTACAGTATGTGAGGCTCACGACGGCTCAGATTTTTGTTCAGCATGCAGGGCGCTTTACTGGTTACATAGTACATGCACTGCTGTATGATTGCCAAACAAGGAACCTACATTCAGGGGCCAGTAGGCGAAGTCAACCTCCAGGCGACCAAGAATCTCCACAAAGCGCTGAAACCAGTCCTTCCAAAGCTTCAAAGTTGTGGTTCTAGCAGCTGCTACAATTAGGTGTCTTTTGCTCGTGTTTCTTCAGCTACCGTGGAGGGCATCGAGCTATTGATTGTAGAACTGAATAGATGCCAACCGGCCAACAGCCCAAAGTAGCTGCAGGCTTAGATCTCTGCGTCGCCATTGATGTGCAGCACAAGTTTTTGCTTTACCATGTCTCTCACCAATGCCCAGTACTCCTGTTTAAACGTGTTGCTTGTAGACCTGCGCTGTTGCCCGAGCCCATACAATAGCAGTCTGTCTGAAGCTCCGGAATGAAGGGTTAACATTTCAGTCTCATGCTGAGGTGGTCTTCCCTTTGCTTGCCTTCCCTGCCGCTGGCACTGTACTCCTTTTACGAAAATTAAATGTGAAAGGAGTGTGCTACTAGTCATATTGGGGGAAACCCTGCCCTACAGAGCTTTCCGGTCCAGGTCAAACCCCGGATGCTGGCCAGTTCCAAATTCGCTGACCCACACCTGAACTAAGGCATTTTGAAGGCGACTCGTTTAGGGATCAGAGGTTTGGTCCGTGTTTGAGGCTCCGAAGCAACATAAGGATTCTGGATCACTCGCTTTGCCGTTTTCGCAGGTTTCGGTGAGGAGGAAGGCATGTTTTGAATCCAGTCAACGCTGATGCGAGACTACATACTGCCGCTACTGGTACGTACCTTCATTGCCTTTGTTTACAATAGGTGGTGCTTGCGAAGCTGGCTCAAGAAATCTTGCTTAAAAACAGACCCTGCTAACATACCGACATTGTCAGAAGGAAAGCCACATGCATCACGCCAAGAACCGTCTTAGCAAGCAACAGGTGTCAAAACATGACCACCGAGGGACGGGGCAGACATCTCTTTCCAAGAGCCAACCTCAGCTTCAGACATGTTCATCTTCTCTGGGCTGGAGACCGGAAACCTAAAGCCACAAAACCAAAGCTCTCACATCGAGGTTCTCTCGTTAAATCTTCCTGCATGTCTCAGTGCTGCTTGGCTATCGGATTCTGATACTTTGTTTTTTCCATGGATATTATTCTAGCGTTCGTTTTATCAGTCTAACCCATGAATTAACACCTGTATTTGCGTGTTTCAAGGCGGTGCTGGGGGGGTGGCATGTAGGGGTGGTTATACAAGGGGCTATCTAGAAGGATCTTAATGCAGCGAGTTCTATAGGAGTATTTATCGAAAGCCATATACATGAGCGTATCTATATTGCGCTGTACCCACATACAGGGGCGTGCATATAGAAAGGTCATACATGACGGTTTTTACCTATAAGGTCACTGCACGTGGTTTTGTAGCACGGTATATGCGAGTGGTGCGAGATGGATGTTCTTCAGGTGGTAATGCAGAGGACTTTGCACGTAGGGTGCTATATATACATGTATAAACATGGCCAAATTAAGAAATTGAGCCCCTCCATTTCTGAAAGTTTGAGAAGTTGGGCCCCTCAATTTCTTAATCTGGGTCTTTGGGGAATTTAACTCTGGAATTGACGTACAGGCTGCCCGCTTGTGACAATCATTGGTTGCTGTAGCCTAGTTGGCAAGCAAGCTCATACTCACCTGTGCGCTTAACACATCCGTTGAGGCTCAAACTCTCCTTATATCATTTCTGCGTAGGTTCATCCTTTAAAATTTCAGCCTGCCTGTTTCTCTCGTTTTCTGTACTTCCCGAATTGTGATTTGTATATCAAGAAATCGAGGGTACCTCAAAGTCAGCTAGAATATCTTTGATAAAAAATGTAAGCCTCATAATTAAGAAATCGAGGGTACCCTCATCTGAGCGTAGCGTTCTTAAGCAGCGCTGTCACTGCATATAGAGGGGGTGATACGTTGGCGGTCATATATGGGTACAACGAACACGAAAACCCTACAAGGTAAGGCTCTGATTCCTGCCCTGCAGCCCCACTGTTCGTGGAGGACTTCGGACAGATCGCTGGCCGACATCTCGCCGTAGTTTTGCTTTGAGAAGATCCGGAGGAATCTCAGGAGACTCCTGCCAAAGAGACACGACACTGATTGCACCAATGAGACCATGATAGGGACTAAGTCCTTAAGGAATCGCTCTGTCTCGACTCGTGTTCTTGATTCCTCGCCATAAATGATAATTATACCGTTTGCATTCCTGCCTTTTATTGATGTGTCATGCCTCTAGGGAAAAAGTGTATCTTCTCCGATACAAAACCCAAGGCCAAACCTCCAGCGACCAATGTGGCACAATCTCTCTGTGGATGCCAGCTAGGGATGGTTCACGGACTACCGTGCATCGCAATCGTGTCAGGGCTTCAAGGTGCATAATATGACAGCTCATGCTGCATCTCACCGTCCTGGAAACTCCGAACTCAGAGGCAGCTTAGGGTACTGCAAAATTTCCTCCATTTACGATTTGAGCAACAGTATGAACTGTAAACGGAACTCTGCATGAACGCCTTACGGTCACAGCCCTTGCAGAAGTTCGGCTGGCTCGTACAAGAAGTGCACCCGACGTAACATCCAAATCAGATCCCAAGATATCCCCGATAAATCAGAGTACAACCCAAAGTCATGATGACCCTACGCCCCATTGAGGCAAGCAATCCTGGAGAGCAGCTGCCAACCTTTGCTCCTCATGTGGGCAAACGGCAGGTAACGACCAGGACCATTCCTGGGCAGGACCACTTGCAGTTTGTCCGCGTGGGATTCTCAAAGCTGTTCGACCCTTTTACTGAGGCTACGCGGGATTGGAGGGATGATGAAGGCCGAACTGGCGATGAGGAACCCATTTCGGACTACAGCCATCCCGGCTCGGAAAATGCACGGGATGATAGGGGAGCGGTCACGCTTCCAGAGTTCTCAAACTCTAGCTGCCGAATGGTGACTGCATGATCACAGTAGCTGCAAGTAAGCTCATAGATGCCACGCCACGTTATGGCGGCGTGCAAAAGGTGATGGTCTCCTATTGGGCGGTCACTGTAAGGATGATACTATGTTGTGATGATACTCTACTGCCCAAGACCATGTGGGGCGGCAGGAAGGCTGCGCGTTTGCTGAGGTTGCAGATCTAGAGTTGGACTCTTCCGTGTCCTCCTAGACACATGCACCCCGGCCATTTGCAAGGCCTAAGAAAGGTCTTACAGAAACACCCCAACCGACCAGTCCGAGTTGCCAGCTGTAGTGATGCACGCCAAGAACCAATCGGTTTCGGAGCTGCGGCAGCAGACAGGTGTCCTTGGAGTGACCCAGAATCTTCAACAACAAAAGGGCATGCATGCCTTCAACACTGCTTCAGCAAATCAGGGAATATTAAAGGACCCCAGGAAAGTATGGACGGCAGTTAACAGTAATTAGCGTGCACCAAGGCCTTTCATGGAATTCAGTCTCCAACCCATCTCTGACCCGCAAACCTACCTTCCCAGATGACAGGCATCCAAACCAAAAGGCCAGCACTCCTTGATCAAGCCATCTTGTGTACCAAAGGCCCAGCGAATTACTCCACTATGGCTGCCATGGCTCGTTGCCAGTACCAAGGTTAATACCACTTCATGCAATAGAACTCAGGCTAGAATTATAGTCCCCTTTAGTAGATAGAATATGGCTTTGGGTATATTATTTTTATAATAAGATCCCCATATACCTCATATTCTATCCACTAAAGGGGGACTATACTACAACTGGGGCATGTTTCAAGACCAGGGCTGCAAGGCGGCATAGCCGCGGAGGCCCCTCATGGGCCAGATGCGGCGCTCGATAACCAGAAGCTTGTCGGGGCAGGCTTCCAGAAGCCTGTTCTTTCGGAGGCCTAGATACGAACAAAATGGAGAGTATTGGGCCCTAGTAATGGATAGCTACCATAATTAAAAAAAAAAAAAAACGCCCCACCTCCCGACATCGAAAACTGTCACATATACGAGCATAAACGGGAGACATGGCACACTATCGAGCGTACATACTCCCTGTAGCCTCATGTAAGATACCTTAAGCAACTACAGCCCATACGGAAAGGCTCTCCCTGCAGGGCCTCAACGAGCAGCGTTTTGCTGCCTCGGCCCAATCGCAGAAGCCCAAGCATCGAAGGAGACGCCGCAGAATCCTGCCAGCAGGAGCTGGGCTGGTCTTTACAACCCTTGCTGGAACATTGGTACAAAGATGTACTCAGGGCATTTATGAAGATTGCAGAAAAATGAACATCCAAAAGGCCAAGCCGGGGAAAATGAGGAAATGCATTACGAGGATGATTACTTTGCATTCTGCAGGAGCTGCTGTAGGTATATCCCTTTACGTAATTGACATCGCACCGCGTAGCAGAAGCACGTTTGACTAACACAGAATCTAACGTGCGTTTCCTTGGTGAAGGGCTTAACATTTTCCAGGCTCTCCATTTTTGGCGGGAGGCGTTTATGCCAAGGAAGCTGCGATCCTCAGGTATAGGATCCTGAGGTATAGGAACTGATAGAAGCGGGTCACATCTTCAGGACACTTAGACTCAGATCAACTCCGGTTTACACGTTGCCAGGTTCATCTCAAAGTCAACTGAATGCAACTGAGCCCGCCTAAGTGTAGTACTGCAAGTGGTGAGACCATCCAAAATGATTCTGATACCTGCTTCGAAGCAGAATGAGATGTTAGGTCAACAAATAGATCCATGAGTCAGAGATAAAGAGAGAGAGAGAGAGACAGATTGAGGGGGGTACACATATATATATATATGTATAGAAACATACATACATATTGACCTATCTGAAATTGGTTATATACGTACATGCGTGTATATATATATATGTGTATACATGTATGCATATACACGAGGCGATATGTCTGCGCATGTGTATATGCATGAACCACAGCGTGAATACATGGCTGCCAGATCCTTGGAAACCCTCCGAGCCAGATCGGATATCGGAATGGCCAGGGGCAGAAGCGGACCTCGTTGCGCAAGTCGAAGCCTCAACGTTCGGAGAGCGCGCGAATAGACGTGGAACTAGGCTCATACAAATAATTCGCATAGCCCCTGACCCTACTGAACTGCTAGACGGCGAAGGGTTACGGTGCATATCACGTCACGAACTCACGTTAGCAATGGCGATGGACCTTTGCTTGTGACAAGCCTTGACTGCTCTATCATATCCCATCAGCGGCACCGCTGGTCTTAATTGTCATGCTTTACATCTTGACGCCCTCAGCACAGATTTGCTTTCTTGCAAGCGGTTACAGCAGCCTAGCACCATCCCTGCCGCAGCAGCAATTGCCGAATTTTTGAAATGGCTTTAACCATAGCAGAGTAGTTGCAGTTCCAGAGTTCCAGAGTTTGAGCGAGAGAGAGAGAGAGAGAGAGAGAATGGACGGTATGTCAGACTGGCGCAAATAAATTCTAGACATGAAACAGCTCATTACCCCACTCCAACACCAGACTAGATTCTGATGCCATGGCTTTATTCATACAGAATTTTTTCAGCTGCAGCAATGAGCTTCACATCTTGACTAGTATCAATATGCTTCTGAGTATGATTGTAAGTGTATTGGTTACCTCAACACAGACGAGGTGCCCACGACGTAGCTGCAGCGTCGGTACCGCCGCGCCAGCATGGCCCAGTCATCCAGCCACTGCTCCTGCGAGCTGCTTGCGTTCTTGTTCTTCAGGGCTTCAGGGAAGTATGGTTTCAGGGATGTAGGGCATGGACTGCAGGGACCATAGGGACCCAAGATAAATCAATCCTGCATACTTCATATGATCTAATCTCAGGGGGGAGAACCAACCCAAGGACCTTTCCCAACCAAGACCGCCTGCATTTTACATGTAGCAAGGTCAGAGTTTGGAAGCCAGACCACACTTTTGGTTCCAAACCCCTAAAGCCCAAATCTTCAACAGTGCAAACTGACCCCCAACCCTTGATAGCCCCCCCACCCCCTCCCTGTGTAACCATTGCACCTCCGTGTAGAAGCTGCTCGCGGGGTCGAACCAGAGGCCATTGCGGTCAGGGCCACCACACCACTCCCCATGGGTTGTGTGGTTGTTCCTGGGCTGAGATTTTATGGTTCTGGTGGTGTTTCAGGCTTGAATGAAGGGCTTTGCGGATGATGGATTTCAGCCCCATGGTGCCAACTGACTATCTCCGAAAACATGCATACTGAGTGGCGGTAGGGTTGCATTCTGAATTAAAACTCTAAAGCTACTGCAATGTCCCACACACATCCATAGACCAGCCGTTTTGGAAGTCAGAAACACCCGAAGCATGGCATCGATACTCATATGTTGCCACTATAACACGCCGCTATGCGAGAAAAAGTCCTAGACCTCAAAGATCAGACTAGGAGAGACGAGGAAGCGCTGGATGAGAAACAGGCCTATCCAGACATCTGCGTGATACTAGGCGTGGCATGCCTGCTCAGCTCGCCTTAGACACGTTGGGCTACTTTAGCAGCCCCCTGTCATTTAAGGAACTTCTCAAACAAGACAAGGCACAAGATGGAAACTACTTGGTGCCGAGCCAAGCCTAGGCAGCTTCGTCATGAGGGATGTTTTGGAGCTGCGGGTTCTGGGTTGTAGCCATACGCAAGCTGCTTAGAGTGGAGCAAAGCCTTGAGAAGAAACAATGAAACCCTTAATGCCTGAAGCCGACAAAAGCGTCCACAAGCCCCTCAGCCCAAAATGGTGCTCTTAGTGATAGAAGGGCCTGAATAAGGCTGAGGTTGCAGATGGTAGAAGCGTGGAACGTGGTTGCTGATCATTTAGACTTCCCGATTGCTCCCCCGAACCTCCCACCTTATTCTCATACACCACTGGCTACTGTATGAGGAAACCCCTAAGCCTTCCTTACACACGTGAAACCCTAAATCAATGCCAGGAAGCAGTGCACCACCTCATCCAAGACCTCTAAAGCCGTCAGCCCCTTCAGCCTCGGATTCTTCTGGAAGTCGATACTGCCGTCTGCTGCACCTGGAGTTCATCAGGTGTTCTTGATGTTTGATAATGCTGCTGAACTTCAGTCTACTATTATGTAGTGGTCGGCTACTTAGTGTCCTTGCTCTGCCGTGTTTCTGCTTCCAATCTGCGCAATCTTCGGTACTGCCCGTGCTCCGAGGTATTGACAATAGCTCTGCGTCTCGTCACTCTTACTGAAACCTACATATCAGTACTGTAGCTGACAATGGCACGGCTTCTCAGCATCTCGTTGGAGAAGGGCAGTCGCACTGCAGTGAACCCCAGGGACTGCACCGTCCCACAGATCGTCTCCAGGCTTTGGACATCCAATCCTCCCACCTTATCTGGGCTGGGAGGGGGAAAGGCTGCGCAGGGTATGTAGACGATTCAATCTCTTTCTGGTAGGCTGGTGGAAAAAGCAAAGGAAACAGATTCTTTCAACAAGAACCCAAGGCACGACATGGTATTGGTCACCTGGGGATTCTCAAACTTAGGCTAGACATGGAGAATGAAATGGAAAATAAATGAAAAGTGAAATGGAAACCGCGGTTATATAGGGATTATAGGGTTTAGGGCTTGGGGGCAATGCCAACAGGAAAGGCAGTTCCGTCTCAAGACAAGATGTGGGTGTTATGACAAATATGTGAGCTCTTAGCCTACCCCACTCCTCAGCAAGGCTGCGACAGGTGACCCCTGATTTGTGGTGAAGCCAGCGAACCGCTTCCAAAACCATACAAACCGTGCTTTCCGTTCTGGAACGGCTCCCTATGACCTGTGAACTGAATGGGCAGGCAAGACGCTCGCGCCATACCTCAACTCGGCTGGGTGAAGAGTTAGGGGGGGTCCTAGGTTTCTAGGATGCTGATAATTGGCTCACTTTGGGTAGGTTTCTTGGGGAACATGAAGGCTCCTAAGTCTCCTCTCTGGAGTGAGGCCCAAAGGCAACGGCCCCTTCTTCACTAGAATACTACAATACGATGATGCCATACCACTCTGAAACTGTAAGACTCTAGTATCTCGACCACATGAAAATGGTGTCAGTCCTAGGCTAGGCCCCTGCCTTTAGCCTTTTGTGACGCCTGAAGGGAAACAGTAGCGTTTTAGAGACCACTTGAAGCATGGCTCCACAAGGCCATCCTTGCATCATCGCGTGATGTTTTCTAGGAGTCTCTGTAAGAAGTTCAACATTTCGGGCCCATATTGGGGACCGAGCTTCCAGTTGATGCTTCGGAGGTGGAACCGCTTGCCATGCTGATTGACCACATGCCGGCCCTTCGTGGACAAAGGGAGCTGAGAAGACCAGTCCTAAGCTTTGGAGCAGTGCTAAGACTTCAGAGTTGACGAACTCAGGGCTTTGAAGGGTTGAGAGATTGAGGACTCGATTCTTTCGAGATTACAGTCATAGAGCGTCAAACGGCGAATTGCCGACATGCCACCTGCAGCACTCCGATTGAGATATGCACTGTGATATGCACCATCGCTATTATTTTCATGAACCTGGCTGTGGATCCTGCTGCTGTGGTCATGTTAGGATTGTTTCAGTGCTGCATTTGACGGCTGGCCTTGCTGCTTCCACTGCTTTGCTCCTCAACAGCCACGTGGAGGGGTTCCTTGCCTGTGGAGGGCACCATGGTTCCTCAAAGCGCACTCGACTGGAGCTTGCTGTTGACAAGCCCCTGGCGAACCATGGTGATATCTCAAATTGAATCCTGCAGACATTGATCCAACCAATATACAACAACTCTGGAAGGCCAACGTCTGTTCCAGAAAGCGTCAATGATTGCCCGCTGTTGCCGCATAGTTGTGCAAAACATCTCGAGAACAGCCACCACCGTCGTGGCTGCCGCCACAACAACAAAAACAATAACAAGACCAACAACAGCAACGACGATGAAGACGACCACCACCGCCACCACCGCCGCCACCACCACCACCAAACCACCACTGCCACCTCGATCGCCGACATCACTACTCCGCCGCCGCCAGCACGTCTTGCTCACATTTTTATTGTCATTTCGCACAAGTCTCCCTACTAGCAGATGCATGCAGATGCCAAAATCTGGCCAGGAGGCCGGATCGATTCCCTCAGCCGGTTCCACGGCCACGTCTCTCGTCCCAGCAGTAGCCATGGCTTGAAACAGAAGTCGAGCTCTTGCAATAACCCCAATATACTATAGTAGTTTCCATTTTCTTTTCCATTATCCCACAGCCCTCCCGAGTCTGGCCCCAGCCTTGGCGTTGAGGTCCTAGCAGCCAAGCTTTCCGTTTCTGCCTACTCAAGCTCTCCAAGCTTTCCTTAGCATCCACATGAAGCAAGCCTGGCTCCTCTCTCGCACGTCCTAATCCTTCAGGCACCAATCCTTCTTTGCGTCTCAGAGTTTGCTAATCTGAACGCTGCATCGAGCCAGCATCGAGCCAGCATGCGAGCCAGTATGCGAGCAAAATCACCAGGAACAATGCAGGCAGCTAGCTGACGTAGTCAACAGCTGCTGGCATTTGGGGCTCAAGCAGCGCTCCCGTGAAGGAAATCAATCACAAAGGTTTGTTTCCCCAAGAAACCACAAGCCCAACAGACGCCGCAAGAGGGGCCCCGTCACTCAAGATGTACAAGTTGGTGGTTTCCCTAAACAGGGGAACCCCAATGCTGACTCCCAAAAGACTACGGTCCTTATCATAGGGACCCCCAGAAGGTACCCCTAATTTTGGGGAAGAAACCCAGTTGTTGAAAGTTCTAAAGTGGATCTGCTGAAGCTCGCCTGGCTCAGCGGCCACGGCCTGAGCATCCGAGTGGAGCGCCGCAGCCGAAAGTTAGGGTTTAGGGGTTATATGGGGGATAATGGAAACTACTATATTAGATTGGGGTTATATAGAGGATAATGGAAAAGAAAATGAAACTACTATAGTATATTGGGGTTATGTAGGGGATAATGGAAAAGAAAATGGCAACTACTACAGGGTTTAGGCTTTCGTGAGGATTTCTCCGTAGTCTGTCTGGAGGTTTGTACCACAACTGTATAGGGATGTCTTTCTCTTCAGACGCCCTTACAGTATCACAATAGGCCAACAAGCCTCAGAGAGCCTCAACAGATGAGGGGCTCTTGACCAGCAATGGCAAGCTGCTCACAAGCTATCTGCGCTAGCAATTATCCTGCAACTGGCGCGTTAATGAATGAAATTAACAGCTGATGTGCCTCTGAAGCTTGCATGGCCAGAAGAATCTCTTACTTGAAGACCTAATACATCCTGAACAGTGAAGCTTAGGCCATCTCTACCAATCTGCTCTTTTGCAGCAATGTTGGTGCAAGGTTGAATGACTTCCGAAAAGTCTGCATCCTGCGTGAAGCTGGTACAGGCACGCTGATATCGCCCTGCACCCTGCGGTTCGAAAGCCATGCTCCGCATGCAATGGGGCTTGCCAAGATCAAACATACTAGTTTGCATCTCCTGTATAATACGCCGCCGCAGGCAAAAAATACCCAGGCTTTCGCGGGTCCAGTAGTGTCAACCTCCTACCACCCTTCCAATTCAGAAACACCCCATCGGCACAGTAGCCTCCTCGCGAATCTTCTGCCATTGACTTCGGAGGTCAACGGTCGTCACGAAACTGCAGAGTTGATAGGCTTCCGCAGCTAAGCTTCAAGAAGGCTCTACAACACATCTCATTCAATTGCAAGGCTCGGTCAAGGTATAGATAGGCTGCCCAGCTGCAGACAAATTAGGATGCGATCTTGCTGAACAATCGGCTCGTCGGGTTGAGAGGTCTGGTGATGTGCATCTGTGCCGTGCGGCCGGAGAAAAAAGAGATACCACCCTTTTGCCGGGTTTTGCGCACCCGGTCATGATGCCCTGAACTGCAAGGCCTAGAAGTACCCAGCTAGATTGGGAGTCCCATGAAGATGTTGCAAGCACAGGACGTGCTACTTCGGCGGGCACAGCAAACATGGGACCCCAAAAGCTTTGGGAATGAATGTATGAAGTGATCCCATGCTGCTTTCAAAGTCGCGTGCACAGCGTCAATTCATGTGGCAAACCTTGAACTTCCTGCCTTCGGAGGCCTGGATCCAGCCCTGGGTCAGCGGCGTCCCAAGGTTTTCCTTGGACCCACCACACAAGTCTGCAACACAATTGTAAGCAAAGAATGCAACATAAGTAAAGTGTGGCGAATGGCTACTCTGCAAAAAGCGCAAGCCAAAAAGAATGAAAACAGCGCCGTCAAGCAAAAACAGAGCACTTCAAGCAGACAAACAGCTTCGCAAAATCATGTACGTAGCAGCAGAGCCACTACAACCCCCAGTCTCTCTGCTCTTGCTCTC